AAAAAGGAAAAGATCTAACTTCCATCTTCCTCGTTCCGGTTTTCGAATATGACAGTATAGCCAATTGGATGGCAAGGACCTCCGTCCTAAGCAACTCCCAGATCAGAAAGTGTGAATGCGATCGTTGAGCAAAACGTGAAACTGCGAAGATGGTCTGAGGGGCGAGTTCTTCAAGGGGACGGTTGAACAAGTTCTTCAAGAGGACCCTCTTTAGAGGGTATTTTTGATTTTGCTGCGTTGAGCGTTCGTCACTAATCCCGTCGTTGCAGCCACCTAATCGATTCGTTTCAGGAGGTATATGGCATCGTCATAGTTCGATGTAGTAGGCATAATCCAGATCACTGAGGTAGTCACCGAGACCATTATCAACGCCGGCAAAATTCGTCGTTGCTGTTCACATGGTCCATTCGTCGATCCACGCAGCTCCAAACGACGCCGTAGGCGATATCCAAAATATCCCTAAATTCACCATGGGTACGGACTCTCACCAGTGTCCTGACGTACTGTATGCATGTGGTATACCCATTTCGATAAAAGCCATTCGTTTCCGTAATGCTCCACAGGGAACGGCGGTGAATCGAATCGAAAACTGCTGAAAAGCCTGTGAAGCATGCGTTCATGGGTTGCAAGAAATGGTAACAGTGTTCCAGGTGCCGCGAAATGCGTTGACTTGATCATTGCACCCTCATCCATCGCGAAAGCGAACCTCGTTTGGATTTGTACATTCTTAACGGATAACTTGCAGCCAAGGAGCCATAATATGGCAAAGGGTTTCTCAGCCACATCAATCAACTTCATTTTATGATACTTTCGATAGAAGCTTTTGTCGCTGTTGCTTGAGGAACAGGAGTAACAGCGTGTTACCTCAACCTTGTGGCAGTAGCATTTCAGACAAGACGTCTCAGAATTATTGCCACTAGCAGTCGACGGTTTCAGGCGAACTGGCGTGATTTAGCTCTGCTGAGATGCCATTCTCGTTAGTGGCTCTTTTTCGCCTCAGGGATTTGATAACGGCCTGTAACTCTGCAGTTGAGGTGCATTTACAAAAGGAGGAGTGTGCTTGTCAACTAACTGGCAGCGCATGTTGATATGCGATTTCTGAAGAGTCCTGGAGATGTAAGGTTGAGAAGAGATTCAAGGTGATTTCACCACCAATCACTTCGAGCTCACTAAGAGATCTGCCAATAGATTTTCTAGATATGGAGGTCACATATTCCGCCAACACCAAATTCTGAATTAGCATTATTGTGTTCCACACACTAGCCGCATGTTTCAGTGCATTTGCTACTTCTTTCCCAATGCGTAAATACTTGTCCTCTCTGTCAGATTCTGATTATTGCCATAGAAGAGAGCGGAATCCAGACCTAGCTTTACTACCCAACTCCTTAAGTCAAATTTGGTCTCCCGTGAGTCATGTGGCAAAGTGTGCTGTTGATGGAATGTGCAGTCTGTTAACGACCTTCACATCTCCTTCACCAGATCGCACGTTTCTATTCTCGCTGTTCAGAAATGACCTCGCACATCCGTTTGAAATTCATGCAAGACTTCTTTATGCTGCAGCCTCGAGTAATCGGTAGGCTTCTTTCAGAGAGACGCAGGTTTCATCTCCAGTCAGAGATGCACTTTCGAGTAAAACGTACATGCTCCGTGCCGTGTGTGTTGCCCGTCCGAATCGTGTGCGGCGACCTACAGTATAAAGCACTGCACATAAGCATCTGATTGGTCATTCCGCCGTCGTTCGACATCAGTGCCACTCTTTGGACCTTGACTCCGAGCCATCGTGCTTCATAAAACAACTCTTGCTTTCGGGCTAAACGATAGTTTGCTAAACCACAAAACGTTAGACACGCTACAACGTTTCTTCTGCATTACAACTGCCTTTCTCGAGGTCAGGCAAAAAAACCAAATGTGAACAAAGAGGCCTACTTATTGCACTCAGAACAATAAGACGTCGATTCAATTCAGACCGTAGAATATAGTTTCCGCGCCTGTATATGTCATATAAGTGAAAGCTGTCAACGCAGTCACCTGGAATTAACGGCCAAAAATCAACGTCGTTTAATAGCATGAATTAAATTATGCATTTATTGTTGGCGATACAGTTTGCATGAAATGCAATTAATGATATTATTTACATGTTCTGTATGATTGATTTATAATAATAGTGACATACATCGAATATGTTGAGTTTTTATGTTCTATAGAAGAGGGCAGTCTGTTATTAATGCCATTTCATAAGTCACTCACTGAGGTCTTTCATATGCTAACGGACATTTCCGTTCTAGAAGGCCGTCTAATTTACTCCGTGATTAGGTCAGTCGAGAATAATTCTTCAACATAGTCTCGGAAGGACGAGGGTTCACAGTCTCGGGTACGTTTCTAAATATTTCCAGCCTTCTTTCAGTAGAAAGTCCATTTAAGTGGATTTCGGGCGGATAATAGCAAGTTCTCAGGAGACCCAACGTTGTGTCCAATGATCACCCAGTGTCTCGCTTTGAAAAGACAGCCTACCTTGCAAGTTCTACCATTTTCGAATCCTAATCATGCTACCAAACTATCGCAACTGTGATCCTTTGACTTGAATATTAACTAAAGCGTATTTTATTGTTGTGACGGAAAACGAACTTATCCTTTTGTCGAAGTCATAGCTTTTAGCATAGGGTGTTGAATTAGCGCATAACTCATTCGAGACCAGATATCACGGCCAATTATGCGGCCCCTTGCTTCTAGTTGCAGGAGGACTGCTTAAAGAGGCGACGGCTCCATGGTAATTGAGGTGTCATATGCGTTTCGCATCATTATGTTTACGAGAGCAACCTCAAGCTCGTTACGTATAAAGTTTCAGGAGCTGGTGCTCGTCTCATTCTACCGTGATAACTGTATTCTCAGCTAAATACTTTGATATGCAGGAACGTGTTAACTGCGAAAAACTTTTCCGACTCCAGACTGTCAAATCATGCCACTGTGATTGTTTTAGCTGTACAACGTTGCCACTCGGAAAGGTGTGATACTGGTTTCGTTCGGAACGATTCCGAACGCCCATTACCTGCCAGAGCGCATCATCAGTGTGTTTCGATCGGTGTTCGCCAATCTGCAGGAGTACAGCGTCTTGTTGCAGCTTCCGGACATACAGAAGATCGCCATGAACATGACGTCGAACGTCGTCGTCGCCAACTGGATCCCGCTGCAGGAGCTTCTTGGCGACCCGTCCGTCAAGTTGTTCATCACTCACGGAGGCATAGGCAGCGTCATTGAGGCGATTACGAACGCCGTGCCGATACTCGGCATCCCTCTACAGGGTGACCAGGTGTACAACCTCGGCCGACTGATCGAGAAAGGCATCGCCGATGTCATCTATATTCCCGAGCTGTCCGCCGAGAAGCTCTGTCATAAGCTCAAACTTATGTTGTCAGCGGTCAATCGGTCGATCGCGATTATGACCAAAAACGA